TAATACTGTTATAATTTATATGAAACATGATAGTATAAAACTCTAAATATATACTTATATTAATATATGTCTAGTAAATAAATACTGGTGCTTTAAAGAGTCCTAAAAATTTGAGATTTCATCTTTTACCTGTGTTGGTCATGTTTTCATATGGAGTTCCAGCTATAAAACTTGGGCCAGCCAATTTTGACATGTGACTTTCTGTTCCTTTGTGCCCTTTTCCTTTCACAATATATTTTCCTTTGTACCTATTTTAGGCTATAAAGGAAAATGAGATTAAAATGTCTCCTCCTCAGACAATTTGAAGAATGTATTTTATAAAAGACAATTTTATATACTTAAGGTTTTGAAGAATATTTTAAAAGCCCTGTTATTTATTTATTATCTATCTATCTATCTATTTATTTATTTTAAAGATTTTGTTCATTTGAGAGAGAGAGAGAGCATGAGAGGGGGGAGGGTTAGAGGGAGAAGCAGACTCGGTGCTGAGCGTGGAGCCTGATGTGGGACTTGATCCTGGGACTCTGGGGATCAGGACCTGAGCTGAAGGCAGTCACTTAACCAACTGAGCCACCCAGGTGCCCAAAAGTCCTAATTTTTTATAAACTTAAAATGTTTTTGTTATTTTAGAATGACTATAGGTTTATATAAAATTGCCTTGAATTTTGAACTGCTGATACATAATAATTTCTGAATGGTAAGTTCTATAGAAGGGAGATTATGTACATTTGAATTTGTAAGGTGTTTAGTTCATAATTTGAACATGAACATTCAAGGGATGAATCCTTTTGATTCATCAAAAAAATAATAAAATCATATGTAAAGATGCTTGTTTCAATTCTTTCTTGCTGTTCACTCCATACAAACATGAACTTCATCTCCTGCTGCAATAATTGGTTCACAACTTTCTTCCATCATTTCCTGAAAGCATTTATTGTCCAGCTAAAAGTGAACAAGACTAAATTATCTTCTTGTTACAATTGTTGACAAAATTGCAGAAGTATCCAATGTCAGCATTCCACCCTAGAATTCACAAACAAATTCTCACTACGTGGAATGACATTGTGAATGAAATTTCCAAAGTTGAGTTTTTTCAGATTTGTTATTTGGATAATCCATATTTAACTGTAATTATTGTTTTTAAACCCATTCATTTCTTACAAATACATTTTTAGAATTGCAAAGGACCCTATAAATCATCATATTATTTATACAGAATCAAGCATTTGAAATTTCTTGACTCTCTTTTCATTATACTGTGCTTCCTCTAACTCAACAGATGATTTTAAGTCGGACAGCATTTACATTTATAAAAATCTTAGCTAATGCCTTCTTTTAAAAAATTCATGGTCTCTTAAGTAATTTGCTTTACACAGAAAAATGAAAGATCTTTTATCTTTAAAGTATCAACTAATTATGTAAGTTCCTTCTCTTTCTCTTGACATTTTTCTTTTCACATATTGAGACTTCATATATAGTTTTTTTTTTAAGATTTTTTTATTTATTTACTTGACAGACAGAGATCACAAGTAGGCAGAGAGGCAGGCAGACAGAGAGAGGAGGAAGCAGGCTCCCCGCTGAGCAGAGAGCCTGATGCGGGGCTCGATCCCAGGACCCTGGGATCATGACCTGAGCCGAAGGCAGAGGCTTTAACCCACTGAGCCACCCAGGCACCCCTCATATATAGTTTTTATGTACCAATATAGCATGTTCACATAAGTCATTTTAATGGCTCTTAGACATTTTTTTTTAAAGATTTTATTTACTTATTTGACAGACAGAGATCACAAGTAGGCAGAGAAGCAGGCAGAGAGAGAGGGAGAAGCAGGCTCCCTGCCGAGCAGAGAGCCTGATGCAGGGCTCGATTCCAGGACCCTGGCATCATGACCTGAGATGAAGGCAGAGGCTTTAATCCACTGAGCCACCCAGGCGCCCCTGGCTTTTAGACATTTTATCATGTTATATAACTTGACCATTTCTAACTTACTGGACATTAAGTTGTCTCCTATTTAAACATTTTTGGATTATCTTCTTGGGATATACTCCCATAAGTATTTGTTCAAAAGAAAGTAATTCTTATGTTTTCTGTTGTACATAAGTAGATTGCTTTTTAGAAACATTTTGTGAATTATGCATAATAATCAGCAATGTATGATTATATCTGTTTCCTATAGACCTGCTAACATTAACTTTACATAGCTAAGATATTAAAGAATAAAAAGGGTACTACTAATTTTTTGATAAAGATACTTAAAATGTTTTTGTTATTTTGAAATGATTATATACATATGAAATTCTAAACTTCTGAATCTTTGAGCGAATTTTATTTATTTTATTTTTTGAAGATTTATTTATTTGAGAGAGAAAGAGCACATGGGGGAAGGTGCAGAAGGGGAGGGAGGGAGAGAATCCTTACACAGACTCCCCACTGAGCACGGACCACCCCCCCGCCAGAGGGCGTCCCATCCTAGGACACTGAGATCATGACCCAAGCTGAAATTAAGAGTCGGACGCTTAATAGACTGACTGAGCCACCCAGTCACCCCTAGAGTAAATTTTAATTTATTTTTGTTAATTTAGTTATTTCTCAAAATTTTGTAAAATCAGCTATTTCCATGTTATGGATAATTCATTTACTTGCTCTCTTTTACTTAATAGAAACAAAATTGCTATTTTAGCAAATCTTATCCCCATCAACAAAGGATTCTTTAAAGGAATGTCACAAACCACAACCATATCTTATTTATCTTTCATAGCTGAAGGACATTTTTGTATGAAAATATCCCTGTAATTTCATGGCTTCCTTGTTCTATTTGCAGGACATTTCATTACTTTATAGATTACACCAAGTTTCCAAAAGGTAAAATTGATTCTTTATTGCTTTTTATAATGTTACTTATTAATCTGATTTCTAATTCTTAATACTTTTTTTTAGATAAGTTCACTTCAGTTAGTCACAATGTGGCTAGGTAACTGAGCTCAGAACTTTGACAATTACTCACTTGATTAGGGCAATGACTTTCAACTACCTGCACAACAGAATTAGGTGTGAAATATAACCACTAAGTCTAGAGTAATGGTTTCCAAACTTTAGTTTGCATCAGAATCTCTTGTTAAAACACAGAGGTTTTTGTGGCGCCTGGGTGGCTCAGTGGGTTAAAGCCTCTGCCTTCAGCTCAGGTCATGATCCCAGGGTTCTTGGTCATGATCCTAGGGTCCTTGGTCATGATCCTAGGGTCCTTGGTCATGATCCCAGGGTCCTGGGATCAAGCCCCGCATCCGGCTCTCTGCTCAGCAGGAGCCTGCTTCCCCCTTTCTCTCCTGTCTGCCTCTCTGCCTACTTGTGATCTCTGTCAAATAAATAAGTAAAATCTTTAAAAACAAAACAAAACAGAACAAAACGAAACACAGAGGTTTTAAACATATGGTTGTTAAAACATAGTTGGCTGAGCTTGTCTCCTAGAATTAAAGAGATTCAGTTGGTTTGGGGGTGACATGGTCCCAGGTGATGCTGATGATGCCAGTCCAAGAATCACACTTTGAGAACCACTAGTCAGGGATGTAGCCTGGGCATCTATGTATATAGTTTAACATGATTGTGATGGTTGAACACAGTATCATCCTTAAGGAATGAGTTGCATAATTGAGTGTGTGTAGGTCATTTCCCTGAGGATCTCTCAAACTTCACAGTGTATCACCATCACCTGGAGGGCTTGTTAAAACACAGATGGTTAGGCCTCACTCCCAGAATTTGGGATTCCCTAGATCTGAGATGGAGTGAAAATCTGCATTTCTACCAACTTCCCAGGTGTTATTGATGCTGCTGATTCTAGAATCACATTTTAAGAACCACTGCCTTAGTGTAATTTAAACCTAACCCCTGCAGCAGTATCCTTGCTTTTCCCTAAGTATCCAGAATACCGTAACAATTGTTGTGCAACTTTAATCTTCAAGAAGTCAGATTCCATTCTGAGGGCAATAAAGATGGGAGGGAGTACATCTTATTCATCTTTACATAGCCTTGGCATATTACAATGATGTTTTGCAAATACTAGTGCTCAAAAATGTAATGCATTTGAACACTGATTGGGATAGCAACTGATTTTGTAGAAATAGTAATGTTACTTATTTAATCAACACTTAGTAAAAGAAAATGGGTAATTACCATTCCTGAGTTTAAAAAATGTAGAGAAGGGGCTGTCAAAGAAAAATTAACTTTGGCTCATCAAGTTAATTGGCAATCTTCCCTCATGTTTTGCCTTTAGATATTTGTGAGTGCAGTGCACTGAAACTGACTATAGTGTTGACTTGAGTCTGGAGATCTGTGTGTGTATATGTATATGTACACACACACACATTTGTGCATCTCTCGAATAGTATCTGACTAAACTTGGCAAACCATAGAATTACGTCGCATATATTGAATGGATTATAGTACATTGTATAATAATATATACAAAATAATACATTATTCCGTATGCCGAGGGCATTCAGAATATCCTGTAGAACAGGCCAATAGGAGACAGACTGCAGTGAAGAAGGGGAGTGGAGGCAGGTTCGGGGTAAATAAAAGAGATACTACAACACCCAGACTGTACAAACCATCTTATGCTGGAAGAAATGCAATCTCAAAGTTGCAGAAGTCCCATTTTATGCGGAAAGAAGTACAACTGCATAAAAATAGTAGCAGTCTTTCAATAAAATGAAACAAAATTACCAAAACGGTTCTTGAGACAAGGCTGGAATGATCTTGTTCAATTAGAGCTATGAACCTGAGAACAATCTTCCCTCCTGTTGGGGCCAATGCTGCCTCCTACAGAGCCACATCTACTCTGCCAGGTGCTGCAACTAGCACCAGACCTTAATTTCACTCCGCCTGGTCCTCGAGGCTTTTTCCCGCCAAAGGCCAGGTTTCCGCCCCGCCAAGCTCCGGGTGCAGGCGGGACTGCGCATGTGCGGGGCCCTGGCCGACGGATAACCCCCCCGCGGCCCCACGGACTGCTGACCATGGCGGAGATGGAAGCGAGCCTGTTGCGCCAGTGCCCGCTGCTTCTGCCTCAGAACCGGGCGAAAACCGTGTACGAAGGATTCATTTCGGCTCAGGTACCCGCCAGCTTGTTGCCCGATTGCTAGGAGGGCGTCCCTTTCTCGGCGCAGCTCCGCCCCTGGAAGTCAGTTACGGGAGCAGTTAGGGGCCCTTAGCCGCGGGGAGTTAGGAGGGGAGGCGCCTCACGTCTCCTTGGAAACTGGAGGTTTGAGGACTTCTGCGGTTGTTGACAACCCGCCACTCGCTACCGCGTCTTTGCCTGGGCTACCGTCGGGCAAGGGACTCGGCAAGAGGAGGCCGGCGCTGGACGCGAGCGGGGGGCGGGGCAGACGGCCACGCCCCCTCGCGCGCGCTTCCTGAGTTTGACCTCCCTTCTGATTCCGCGTCTGCCCCACCTTGAACTGTTTTTTTGATTGTTCTGCAAATTTTTACCTTGTCTCTAACAAACCCCCCGTCTCCCCCGCCCCCGAGCCCCACAAAGGTTGGTGGCCAGCCGTTCACTAGGGAATCCCTGCAGATTATACTCGTTTTTCCTGCAAAAATGTATTTTGGAGGAAAACCACCTTTTGGCTCTCAACTAAGTCCTGTGTCCCTGAGCGCTTCCTGTAGCGATATTTTGTACGAAATCTTGACAGCAGAATTAATTGCCTTTCCTGAGTCCAGGCGGCTTCTTAATTCTGTGGTGGAGTTGATGACACAGGGTAACACACGTGTACAGGTTTGAAGTTTACAAAGCGCTTTCCGGGTACGTTATCTCACTAATCCTCGGCCCTTTGAGGCAGAATTAAAAGAAATCTTTCTCAGTCTTCATAGTTAAGTAAAACAGGGCATGGGAAAGTGGACAGGTTAAGTTATTTGTCCATGATTGCCAGAGTCCCTGAAAGCGAGGCAATCAGATTCCACTCCCGCGTTTTGCTCCTCTCTCTGCATTGCACCAGGATACTGGGTTAGATTTTTGAGTATAGATTTTTGCTTCCAGACCTTTATACTCAACATTGTGCAACCTCTCTCACCAGCACAATACTTTCTTTCTTTCTTTTTTTTTTTTTTGGTCTTTTAAAATTAACAGATTCTGCTTGAGGAAAAACTGTTGAAATTACACACAAATTAACCACCTGCAACTTTTGATATGGATCATGAATACGTTAGATTACCAGCAGTACCTTTTAGCTATAAAATGTAACACGCAACTAACCTGAGGATTTGATTTGCTATGTGTAATAAGAAATTTTGGAAGAGGAAAGAAACAAAGTGGTCATTTTTAAACAACTTAACATTGAAACAACTGTATTTTCTGGAAAAATATGTATGAATCTTTTATAGACATGCACATTTTCAGTATTTGAACTCAGTTATATAGAAACACAAATTATGCAATTTTGTCATAATAAATTTAAAATTTAGTAATTAACCAGATAATTTGAAAACCTCATGGTGATGAGTAAAAATTTCTGTTCTCAGAATTATTTTTATTTTCTGAAAGGAAAATGAATAATTGCATTGCTCCACCTTACCTTGATTAACACTCCATTCAATAATCCTCATCAAAACATTGTCAGCATTAAAAGAGTGGGATGGAGGTAAAATTTAACTCTTAATTATAGTGATTAAGAGAATGGTTTCAACTTTCAGAAATATTTAAGTGTTTGAGTATTGGGTATTTGAAAACTTGATACTTAATTTAACTTTAAAGAGAAGCCTGTTTCATGCTTTTTTTTTTTTAAAGTATAACTGACATGCAACATTTGTTTCAGGTGTACAACATAATGATTTGATGTATGTATATGACATGAAATGATCACAGTGAGTCTAGTTCATCGGATGCACCATATGTAGTTCTATAAGTTTTTTATGATGAGAACTTTTTTTAAAATATTTATTTATTTGAGAGAGAGAGATCCTATGGGTGCAGAAGTGCAGGGAGACAGAGAGAGAGAGAAGAGAGAAAGAATCCTCAAGAGGACTCCCAGCTGAGTGACAAGCAGGACTAGAGCCTGATCTGGGGCCCTGAGATCCTGACCGGAGCCAAAATCTAGAGTAGGCCTCCTAACCCACTGACCCACCCAGGTGTCCTCCTTATTATGAGAACTTTTAAGATAAGTCTCTTAGCAGCTTTCAAATAGGCAATAGAGTTTTAACTATAGTTTCCATGTGGTACTTTTCATCCCTATAACTTAGGACTGGGAGTTTGTGCCTACAAAAACACAAACTTCACCGGTTTCACCCTCTACCCCACCAGAAAACATACTTTTTGAGGGTTGGGGCCATATCCTAGGAATTACCATATGTTTTGAAGTTTACTCAAAACCTATAGTAGTCTCTCAAAAATACTGAGTGAATTATCAAATTTACTTGCTAAATGAAACTTTTACCCACCCCTTAGAATATTAAGGTAAACTAATCTGAGTGCACTGTGATTAAGGAAAGATTATAGAGGGTACATACAGATTTATTAATTTTTCTTTAAATTCATTATGAGCATTGCAGAAAGTAGAGGCTAAATTTCATTACTATTTCTGGAATAAAGGTAATCCACTTTTTCTTCCCTGAATTGGAAGTATCAGTCTTGAATTATCTAGCTGAAAACCTGATTCATTTTCAGGTAATGTTTAGAAAAATTAAAGAGAGATTAAGTTACATTTTTACCAGGAGCCATGTTATATCTAATTTTAGGATTTTAAGGAATGTACTTTATATGTGTGTCTCTACTGAAGCCTGTGAGAAAAACTTGTGTAAACGTCAGAATTGAGATTAGATGAATTTTCTTGTGACCCTTGCTGTAGCTACAATTCTGACTTCTTAACATAAACACATTATTTAATGTTTGATGGGACTGTTTTTCTTTAGAAATGTTTGTCTTGTATATAATTTCAAATTTACAGAAAATAACAAGTATGTATAAAAATTACCCAGATTCACCATTTTACTTTTGCCCCATTTGATTTTACTCTGCGTGTATATATATGGGTGGGTATATATACATTATTTTTCTGAGCAGTTTGAGATTAGGTTGCAGACATAGTGTCTCTTTATTCTTAAATACTTCATCATATAGTTCATGAGAACAAGGACAAACTCATGTATATCCACAGTACAGTTATCAAAATCACGAAGTTTCATCATGATATAATGCCATCATCTGGAGGCCAAATTCAAATTTTGTTAATGTTGCAATTACATATTTTGTACCCCCCTTTCCAGCCTCCTATAAGGAGTGAGATGTAAGATACCACATTGTATTTAGTTTTAAGGTATCACATTGCATTTAGTTGTACTATTTCTTTAGTCTGGCATAGTTCTTAGGCTCTGTGTTTTCTATGAACTTGACATTTATTAAGACTATGGTTTGGATATTAGGAAGAATGTCCCTCAGTTTGGGTTTGACTGATACTTCCTCATCATTAAATTCAGATTATGTAATTTCAGCACAGATGACACAAAGAATGCTGTGTCCTTTTTAGGGCACGTGAAGTCAGTGGTTCTCGATGATGTTACCTCTGATCACCTTGTTAAGATGGCATGTGCCAGATTTTCCTTTTGTAATTCATAAGTACTTTTACAGAGCTACTCTGAAGCATCAAACTTTCAGGTACACACACCAGTTTTAGTATCTTAATTGAGCCACCATCATTTGGTGCTTGCCAAATGATGATTTTTCTAATTCCATTATTTCTTCTTTATTGTCATTTTATTATAAGGAGTAAACTCTTTCCCCCCACTTATTTGTATCAGAAGTTTTAAAAATAATTTAATGGATTGTAATCGTTACTTGCCTTATTTATTTTGATGCTTAAATTTTCCCAGATTTGGTTGTGAGAGCACATTTTTACTGATACAAGTTTTTAAGGCTCTGCATTTTCCCTCTTACCGCTGTTTTTTAAAGTAGGCTATATATGCTGACATGTAGTGTTTTATCATAATCATTTTTTAGTACTTACATAATTTTACTTTGTAGATCCCTTGCACCCAAGAGTTACTTAATAGAAGATTTAAAAATTTTTCTCATGAAAATCTTTTTTGATTATTAATTTTGTTATTTCTAGTTTTACAATTAGATAATACTGTTCCTAAAAATTATAGTCTGTGAAACTTACTGATTCTTTGTGCATGCCTGCACGCACATGTGTGTGTGTGTTTGTGTGTGTGAGAGAGAGAGAGAGAATGAACGATCTCTGTGATTTAAATAAGTTATTTTCTCAGTTGGGTTATTCCTTTTCTTTTGGGTGAGCTTGGCAGTTTGTTTCCCTCAAGGAATTTGTGCATTTCTTCTAGATGTTTGAATTTATTGGCTTAAATTTTACTTCATAATATTCCCTTATCCTTTTAGTGAATGTATTTAGGAACTGTAAAGATGTTCCCTATATTGGTTATCTTTTGCTGCGTAACTACTTATTCCAAATCTTTGTGGCTTAGAACAACAAACATTTGTTATCTTACCTTTGCTATGGATTGAAAGTTTGAAAGCTACTTAGGTGGATGGTTCTACATCACTGTTTCTTATGGACTTGTCGTGAAGATGTTAGCCAGTATGCCAGTCTCTAAAGGCTTGGCTAGAACTTAAAGATTTGCTTCCAGGATAGCTCATTTCCATGGATATTGGCTGGAGCCCCCTGTTTTCTACTTCTCTTTGACTTGGGAGGCCTCAGTTCCTTAACTGCATAGACCTCCATAGGGTCCTCACAACATGGCGACTAGCTTCCCCCTGTGTGATAAATCAAGCATAAAGCTGCATGGTACTTTTGGAGAAAAGGTACCAGTCTCTGGAGTTACACATATTTACTTCTGCTTTTTCTGTTTTTTATAGCAAGCCCCAAATCTAGTCCATATTCAAAAGGAGAGAAATGAGGCACCAACTCTTAAAGGTTGAAATATCAAAGAAATTATGGATATATTTTATAGATACTTCTTGTCCCCACTCTTATGGTATTTTGTGTCTTTTTTCCCTGGTGCAACTGGGTAGAGGCTTAAACATTTTATTGATCTCCTCAAAGAACCCACTTTTGATTTTATTGATTTTTTTTTTTCGCTTATTTTTCTGTGTCTTTCTTTGCTTTCT